TAATTCCATACTTGCTAAAAATTAATTTAGTGCAATAGAAACGGAAAAAAATATCAAAATAGGTCAAAAAATTTTCCTGTCCGTCATGTGTGAAACCCGAAAACACTGTAACTTGTAAAAAAATCCATTATTTGACTTAAATTTTTTTTTAAAAAATTCTAATCGATGATTGTAGGTCACTGAGTGCGAATGATTAATTAATTCAGTGTCGTTTAATTACAATTAATCAAAAACGAAAACTACAAGACTGTATATCTATATATATTTATGTAACATGGATGGTGATATATCTATATCTATAGATATTATGTACATTTTATTCCACCAGAAGCGCTTGTGCAGTATCCTTCCTATGTTATCAGCTGTTTTTTCGGCAACTAATTTGACTTGCTTTTTTTTTTTCTTTTTTTTTTTTTTTTTTTAATATTTTATAATTAAATGAGCATTATGAGTCGTGCACTTTTGGATTTTCCAAACTTTTTTTTTTCTATTCATTATGAAATCTACTTCCATTTCGGCTGCCGAATGGCCATTTTTTTATTATTGCCATCCAGCTTAAGCTTTGGCATATAAATTTTATGAATCAATAATAGTAAATGTTAATCAAAGTCTACAAAATGAGCACTTAATTCGATGGAATTCAATTAACAATCAAATTAAAAAGATTTTCGTTGGTTATCTACATCTTATAAACTCAAAATATTGATGTTTAACTTTTAAACGATAAGCAGACCATTTAAAAAGCTACTTAACTACCAATTTTTTGATTGTGTTTCAATTGTAAGTTAATTATTTAATAACAGTTTACTTGTAGTGACCTAAAAACTGAAAGAACTACTATAATTTAAGAATATCTTACTATTTGGATGAAACATTTCACAAGTGAATTGCATTTTCGGTGGACTGAGTGGATAGTCAGGTGGAAATATTAATTTGGCAGGAAAAATTCCACCTTCAAAACAAGTACCATCTGGCCCACTGTAGATAAAATTATTGAAGTTAAGGCATTTGCTAATTCAATAGTTGGAATTTTGTTAATAGGATTGATTTAAAACTTTTGAATGTAGTTGATTTTTTTAAATAAAATTAATTTTTTATACATACGATATGAGAGCTTCCCACTCAAAAAAATTTTCTTCATGAATTGGACCTGCAACAATCCCTTCGGGTGGATTCAATGTCAATTCTAAAAGTTATTTTGAATTTGATTATTCAAAGATATAGATATTTACACGAGATAAATGTATTAATAAATATTTACTCAAAGCACAAGAATTCTTACGTTTATATTCTGCCATTAATCGTCTTAATGCTGAGCCAGCCATAATTATTATTTTGTAGAATAATGTTTTATATTTACACAAATTTCAACAATAATAACAAGGCGATCGTTTTTATTTTAAAACTATTAAAACAGGTTAAGTATAGAGTCAGTATCATAGACCAATTAATCAATGTTTTTAGGTATGTACATATATACATACTATATGCGAGACATTAATTCTTCCCGGTCAGTGCTGCCTTTGTAGGAATGGAAAAATGAATTTTTGGAAATCTCTAAAAATTAATTTGGAAATTTATAAAAATGTACTTTAATGTTGAAGGAAAAAATTATAAAAGAACTTTCGTAAAATAATAAAAAACTATAAATGGAAACACGTAAATAAAGGAAATGGCTTTTTAGTAAATCTGTAAGTTTGGCCAACTAAAGAAAAATAAATCTCTATTTTTGAAAATTTCTTTTACTGGAAATATTATTATTTGGTATAAATTAAAAACATCTAAATAAATAAATAAATTTCTGTGTAATTAGAAATTTATCAATTGCAAAATTAATAAAAAAAGTAATTTATATAAATGGATATCTTTTCAATATTCCGTTAAAATAAAAATAATTCTCACCTTATGGAAAATATAATTTTCGAAAAAGCTTACGTTTGTACTATAGTATTTACGGTAATTAAAAAAAAAATTATTTATTAATAAACATATGAATAGACGTCCGAACGATTTTATGGAATTTTGCAGAAATGGAATTCAATATTTTTAAAAACTTAAAAAAAGTGAAATTCACATGAATGGCGATCAATAAAAAGAGAATCGATAAATATGTGAATCTCTAAAAATGGAAATCTCTCAAAATGTATCTGTAAAAATGGAAATCTTTAAAAATGGAAATCTCTAAAAATGAAAATCCTTTAAAATAAATAATCATTTTTTTTTATAAGCGAGAATTCCCAATGACTTTGTGAATTTCTTATCCAAAGGGAGGTATCGAGGATACCGGAAGCTCGACTATCAAGACATCTTCTCCGACGAATCTCCCGAAAAATGCTACAATACATTTTATATCATTAGTTATCATGTAGGGAAGATATCTAGCAAACTGGAAGCTTCACTACCAAGACATCTTCTCCGACAGTTCTCGCGGAAAACGCTACAATACATGTTATATCATCAGTTATCATGTAGGGAAGATATCTAGCAAACTGGAAGCTTCACTACCAAGACATCTAGCAAACTGTCTTAATAGTAAAACGCTAAAATACATTTTAAATCATCAGTTATCATGTAGTGAGGTATCTAGCAAACTGTCTTGGTAGTGAAGCTTCTAGTTTGCTAGATACCTCACTACATGATAACTGATGATTTAAAATGTATTTTAGCGTTTTCCGCAAGAACTGTCGGAGAAGATGTCTTGGTAGTGAAGCTTCCAGTTTGCTAGATATCTTACCTACATGATAACTGATGATATAAAATAAATTTCAGCGTTTTTTGTGAGATCCGTCGGAGAAGATGTCTTGGTAGTGAAGCTTCCAGTTTGCTAGATATCTTACCTACATGATAACTGATGATATAAAATAAATTTCAGCGTTTTTTGTGAGATCCGTCGGAGAAGATGTCTTGGTAGTGAAGCTTCCAGTTTGCTAGATATCTTACCTACATGATAACTGATGATATAAAATGTATTGTAGCGTTTTCCGCGAGAACTGTCGGAGAAGATGTCTTGGTAGTGAAGCTTCCAGTTTGCTAGATATCTTACCTACATGATAACTGATGATATAAAATGTATTGTAGCGTTTTCCGCGAGAACTGTCGGAGAAGATGTCTTGGTAGTGAAGCTTCCAGTTTGCTAGATATCTTACCTACATGATAACTGATGATATAAAATGTATTGTAGCGTTTTCCGCGAGAACTGTCGGAGAAGATGTCTTGGTAGTGAAGCTTCCAGTTTGCTAGATATCTTCCCTACATGATAACTGATGATATAAAATGTATTGTAGCGTTTTTCGGGAGATTCGTCGGAGAAGATGTCTTGGTAGTCGAGCTTCCGGTATCCTCGATACCTCCCTTTGGATAAGAAATTCACAAAGTCATTGGGAATTCTCGCTTATAAAAAAAAATGATTATTTATTTTAAAGGATTTTCATTTTTAGAGATTTCCATTTTTAGAGATTTCCATTTTTAAAAATTTCCATTTTTACAGATACATTTTGAGAGATTTCCATTTTTAGAGATTCATTTATCGATTCTCTTTTTATTGATCGCCATTCATGTGAATTTCAATTTTTTTAAGTTTTTAAAAATATTGAATTCCATTCCTGCAAAATTCCATAAAATCGTTCGGACGTCTATTCATATGTTTATTAATAAATAATTTTTTTTTTAATTACCGTAAATACTATAGTACAAACGTAAGCTTTTTCGAAAATTATATTTTCCATAAGGTGAGAATTATTTTTATTTTAACGGAATATTGAAAAGATATCCATTTATATAAATTACTTTTTTTATTAATTTTGCAATTGATAAATTTCTAATTACACAGAAATTTATTTATTTATTTAGATTTTTTTAATTTATACCAAATAATAATATTTCCAGTAAAAGAAATTTTCAAAAATAGAGATTTATTTTTCTTTAGTTGGCCAAACTTACAGATTTACTAAAAAGCCATTTTCTTTATTTACGTGTTTCCATTTATAGTTTTTTATTATTTTACGAAAGTTCTTTTATAATTTTTTCCTTCAACATTAAAGTACATTTTTATAAATTTCCAAATTAATTTTTAGAGATTTCCAAAAATTCATTTTTCCATTCCTACAAAGGCAGCAATGACCGGGAAGAATTAATGTCTCGCATATATTTAATCCTTTTCTATTAGGCTAGAACAGACATGATCAGACATGGACAGGTCTGAGCGTATTTAACGCTTCAGACATGAACAAGCATGGACAGGTCTGATCAGGTCTGAGCATATTTAATGCTTCAGACATGAACAGACATGGACAGGTCTGATCAGGCCTAATTTCAGGCCTGATCATACATGAACAGGCCTGATCAGATATGAACAGGTCTGATCAGTCCTGATCATTTTTTCCCGGGTGGCCTTCAGGGTCTACCGTTTTTCTATTTTTTTTATTAATTTTGCAATTGATAAATTTCTAATTACACAGAAATTTATTTATTTATTTAGATTTTTTTAATTTATACCAAATAATAATATTTCCGAATCTGTGAATTTTCAAAAATAGAGATTTATTTTTCTTTAGTTGGCCAAACTTACAGATTTATTAAAAAGCCATTTTCTTTATTTACGTGTTTCCATTTATAGTTTTTTATTATTTTACGAAAGTTCTTTTATAATTTTTTCCTTCAACATTAAAGTACATTTTTATAAATTTCCAAATTAATTTTTAGAGATTCCCAAAAATTCATTTTTCCATTCCTACAAAGGCAGCACTGACCGGGAAGAATTAATGTCTCGCATAGTCGCATAGTATGTAAAATCGTATGTTGGCTCTCGTAGCAGTTTCATGATGTTATGCCTCTATCTGGTGGATATTAATTTATTTTGCATGAAAATTTAGCAACTATTGAACTATTGTCTACTATTGTATTCGTCCGAGAGTAATAAAAATACAGTCGGCGACATATCCATATGTACATACATACAACACATACTCGGTTTCAGCGCGGGTAATGGAACTTAATTTAATAAAATGAAATTCGAAACGATTTAATTTTTAAAATTTTTATAATTCTCAGAAGTCAAAACTATCTTGATTTTTTATTTATTAATTAATTTAATTGGCAAAACTTTAACACAAATGATTTCAAGTTTATAAAATTTAGCTTTTAGCGGTTTGAGTTTGCATCCACTCTAGTAAGTACATAAGTACACTTATTTCTACTGCATGTAAATGATCTTTTCACACTAATATATAATATTTTTCTTTATATTCACACATATTTATCTATAAATTATTTATATCATAAAGCATTAATATTCGTATTTTACAAATTAGATTAAACTTACTATTATTTTCTGTTAATCTATAACCAAATTTTCTTTAAAACTGTAAAACAGCTTAATTATTTATATCAAAGAAAAATACAATTTAATATTAATGTCATGTGTCATGTTATAAAATCTTACTTTGATAACATTAACTTTTAATTAATTCTAAATTGGATACGAAATATGAATTGTTAATTGATTTTAATTTATTTCATTACACTATTCTTTAAAAGTAAGTTTAGCAAAAATATGTTGCTCAACAATCTTATGTTTAGTTACAATTGATTACATTATTTAGTCGTTGAAACAAGGGATCATAGAATTTTTCTCACATGTGTCTTTTATGACTTTTCCTCAAAGTCTCAAGTACTTAAAGTTTCTCGAAACTCAACTACAGTGTCCTTTTGTACTTGATAGTAAATTACATTTATTTGAAACAAAAAAAAATCTATATAATAAATGTTCTACAACATAAAACTTAAACTTTCTAATTTGGACAGTTTTCACTATTTAAATTATAAATTCATAAAATATTAAAAATAATCTAAATTACATTTAAATTTGCGCTCCGCTGGCAGGTAGTGTCACCTGATGGATGCATCTAGATGCATCACAATAGCTTGTTGTGCCTCCATCTAGTGGATATTTATTTGTCTTACTGAAAGTCTGCAAAATGTCCCGGACCTGCCTTAAAAACGCGGAAAAAAAACAATCCTCTAAATTAAAACACGTGATAGTCTTGAAGTTAGTCAAAGGTCGAAACTCGCAAAAAACGGGCCACGATTCAGTATTGGTTAAAATTTAGGCGCGCGCGTAGCGCGCTATTCAAATTTCTAGTACAATTAAAAAGCTAAACAATGTTTAGTTTTGACGCTTCATGCAATAAAATAAATTTATCTAATTTTTCCACGCTAGATGAAGGCATAACAAATCGAATTAGTTTTCTAAAAGCTTACCAAAAGCCTTAACCTGTTGAAATTATTTAATTTGTTGCATAGCCACTAAATTGTCTTTCATCGTGTTTTCCGATTTTCCCGCTCGCGTCGATTTTCTATTATTGTTGCTATATATAAGGTAGTTTTCCAACTACAGCACTAGAGCGCATAATGCGGCATTGTGCGCAGCTTAGAGTGTTCCAATAACAGCAACGCTTCGCACAGTTGGACACTCAAAAAACCTTTGCTCAGGGATGTTATGCGTGAGAGTTACCAACGAGTCTACATAAAATTAAAAGTATTTTTTTGAA